TTTCATGTACGCTTGTCAAAAGCATGAAAAATTCTATCAAAATATATATATTCATAAATATGAATGTAAACGCTAGGGAGATAAAGAAAGAGAAAAAACAGACAATACACACTACCCACGCACACAATATATATATATGGGTATGTGTGTGTTTGTGTGTGTGTTTGTGTGTGTGTGTGTGTGTGTGTGTGTATTTTGCCAAAAGTTTTCGACCAGAGCATTTCAGGAAGAAAATGTTATTATAGCAAGCAGTCTATGTAGTTATAATGCATATACTAAAGAGAAAAGTATTAACAGTGATATTTTTTTTCGGGAAGATTACGTCCACTTATTAAGATGTTTGTAAAATTGATTTTATTTGAAGAAAATTACATTTTTCAAAGAGGCTGTTAATTAATTATCAGTAAAGAAAGGTTAATTTATGACTTAAATTTATTTGAATTCGCTCACCATAAAAATATTATTATATGACTCCTATATAATTTGAAATTGTTCAGTACTATGTATAACCTAATTTTTTTAGATAATCGGAAGTGAGATATATATTTATCGCTATTTTTGTTTCTGACTGCGATACGTGTAAAATAAATTTAATATTTAAGTCTATTGTTTATGGAGCCATAGATTTCTGTGACGTCACCCCGGGGTCGCTGCGCCAAATGTGACGTCTGCCTGGCTGCGCCCGCCGTTCTGTCCTAGTCGCGGCGCCAAATGTGACGTCACCCCGTCTGTCTCCGCGCCGTCGCCGTCCTATCCTGTCCTGTGACGACCAATGTGATTTGGTATTGGTCGCGGCACCAAATGTGACGTTTAACCTTTTGCTGATTCGGATGGGAATCTGGTTAGATTCGGTATCAGCCTTGTCGTTCCCAGCTCGCCTCCAACGTCTGGTTACCGAAGTAACTGTTTTGATTTCTAGTCTAACCTACCCACGTTGTGATTTGATCTTAGGTAGACGAAATCAATAAGTCGCCGGGCCGTAAAGCAAGTCGAGTCCGGACAAGGGTAATACCGCACAAGTATATATAAAAGAAAATAAAGTAACAACTCGAAAATTTCAAATGTGTTAAAAAAAGGATAACAATATTTTATATCTGGTTGCTGAATACAGGACCGCGTCTTCCTCCTAACCCGCTTATATGGATTCGTCACACTTTGTGTTTGTTAGACGAGTCTTAACATCTAAGTTGTTTTATTTTTTTTTAAGAAACTGCTTCTTGGTGTATCTTCAGGCGATATTCGTAAAAATTGTTTTGGTGGTGTGAGTCTAAGTCGTTCTTCAAAAATAAATTATTCTTGGTTAGAAATTGAGGTCGAGAATGCGTGGATCTCAGTCAGCAACTCCAACTCCAACCCAACTGCAACTAAACACATTACGACTCTGCTTATATGGACGCCGACCAAAACCGGGGTGGGCCTGTCGGGGTTTGAGGTTCCTTGATAATTCTAAATCCGCATCAAGGATTTCCTTTGTTTTCGGTCAGGAAAATTTATTAATTTCCATTTTTGGAAGTCTTTAATTCTAGTTTAAGGGAATCGTCCTCCCAAATTCTTCCTTTCTCATATTGGTATCTCATACCATTCCCTTCAGAGGTGTCAACAGGTTTCCCCTCTCTCTCACAGTGGCATCTCACACCGATCCCTTCAGGGGGCGTCAACAGACCTCCCCTCCTTCTTCACATGATTACCTTCGCCTACCGCTCACGCCACCCTTCAGCCAATGAACACTCAACAGCGTGGGTGTTTGCAATTATCGCTCAAATGAAAAAAAAAATTATCTTCCCTTTTTTTTCTTTTCTTTCTTTTCTTCGAGGAGACCTCACATGACTCTAATCTCTATCTTAACCGAATTTCATCTGGAGTTCGTCAATCGAGATTTTCGCCAAACAAGTGGGTGGTCATCTGGCGACTTTGCACCCTGGTGCCAATTATTTCTTCCGATACAAAATTTTATCATGTCCAGTTTTGGACAATAAAACAGGTGTTTTCTTTCAAAAACAAATGATATCTTCCTTGGGGGTGGTCCAGCGGACATTTTTCTCGGTTAGTGCATGACCTAATTAATATTATCTCTTAGCATTCTGTCCCGTAGGCCATTCGGCCAATTTGAAACTTTCCTTATTGCCATGGGCAGATGGCTATATCTTATTCGCCGCCCCGTAACATAAATCAAATGCGAGAGATCCGTGACCTTACTTTCTTCGCTAATGAAAATAAAATCTTTACCACTTTTCTTTGTTAGAAAAAATAACATCACTCAGTGTCTTTTCGTGATAGATTCTTGTCACCTAATTTAATTCTCCCCTTTTTTTTCTCTTTTCACGCAACCCTAAATAGTGTCACATTTCTTTGAAAAAAATTACCATTATCGTCTATTAGATCAGTTATCGGCTCGAGTTTTGCTAAGCGTTTAATTCTCGCCTAGTTTGTGTTTAATATTTTTATAGTTTTTATAGTTTTGGCTTCTTTCTTATTTTGTAAGTTAATGTTTTCCTAGAATATGTATATTTCAGTGGTTTACATGTATTTGTTTGCATTTTACAATTTTCATGAACTTGTTTGCTTATATATATATATATATATATATATATATATATATATATATATCTTGTCATCCACAGAAAAAATGTTTCATCTGTGTGGCTAGACGTACGGTTACCTCTAGCTAGGATCGAAACCCCACTGAATTGGCGTAAGTTGGAGATTCTACACCGAAAGCCGTTGACGCACGGCAGAGATGAATGCGAATTTAAGCGTATTTATTTTTAAATAAACACACAGTGATTGAGAGAAACGAGTTCTCTCAATCTCTGTGTGTTTATCTAAAATATGCTTCCCGAAAGTACAATATGGACCGAACATCTAATCCATTTTTTTACAATTAATAAAAACAAAGATCGCGTCGTTCAACGGTCATTGAGTTAATGCCTTATTTATTCTGTTAGCGAAGTGATTTCGCCATTAATTACATTAACTTTATTGATTTATTCTTTGAATCTGTACTTCTTTACAATATATATATGTGTGTGTGTGTGTGTGTGTGTGTGTGTGTGTGTGTGTGTGTGTGTGTGTGCATGTTTCATTGCGTTACACCTATCTGATCACAGCTCAATTAGAACCTATTTAAACACACACACAAATTTACCAAACTCCATTAGAAACATACCAGTAGACAACACAAATATATTAACTGCATCCCCCTGCAAAAAAAGACTAAAAATAATGGAAGCTTTAATAATAAAAAAAACAAAAAAAAAACAGCTCTTAACAATATTAACTGCGAACAAAGCCACAATGTGCTAACCGTATTCGGAAATTAAAAACATCCCTACCACACACTAAGACATACCCATAAGACACACATTCACTTAAGCTGAAAAATCGAATCATCCTTGATAATGGCTAAATGTATAGCCGAAAGCACTCGGAAATATAAAACATTTGAACAGTTCTTACACACCCTTTGTCCAGAAAAGAAAGCTCTTGTTGGAACACAAGAATTAAATAAAAAGCTTAATCGCAGTACCTTGTTTGTGGTTTTAATGAAACATGCATGAAGGAAGGATTTCTGCCTAAATATACAACTATATATATATATATATATATATATATATATATATATATATATATATATATATATATATATATATGCTGTAATAATTAATGTAACATTCGTATATGTATCCTGACATAAGAGCCATCAGGAAAATTTGAAGCGTTCTTCGATAATGATTGATTGATCCGTTTCTTTTCGCAGAAAGTTTCGATTGTATGATTTTATTTTTTTTCTTTTGCCAAAGAATATTACAATAGGCATTTTTTTTTCTTGAGAATCAGAATAATTTTTCAGATACCAACCCTACTATTTAACCCATAACTGCGAGGGACAAGATTGGTTCCCAGGCGCACTTGCGCGTTAGTGAATGCATCAAACCGGCTTGGAATTGAAATTCTAATCTCCAATTTTCAAGCCGCTATCTATTACACCACCCTCACACCCACTCGATCCTCGATAAGCTCACAGTGAAAGCTCAACACAAGCTTTGTCGTTGTTGTTTCATTTTATATCGCAGGATAAGTGGAATTTCATGTTTTTCTTTCGTCAACAGCCCTACATTGTAATTATCATTTAAATCGGATTTATTTCGCCTTTACAGCAAGGCAATCCTAACAATACTAGACGTCCTACCAGGATTTATGATTGGTGAGACGCAGTCTTAATAACATAATATAGGCAGATGACCCCGTACGGATATCAGACACAGAAAGGCAACTGCAGGAACTCCTAAACACGTTAGTTGAGGAAAGCGGGAAGAACTAATTGAAAGAAGACATAGTGTCCGGTTGTCAGCAAACGGAACAATCCAAATTACGTGCTATAGATTAGACATGTCAAAATCAAACAAATACATTTAAATATCTGAGAATTGGTGATGACGGATAAGGGAAAATGCGCGACTGAATATTCGAAGGAGTATCGAAATAGCGAAAAACGTCTTCAAAAAAACGTCTTCAAAAAAAAACTGAACAAACGGAAAATTTTATTTAGAAATTTAGAATTTAGAAACAAAGAAAAGACTACTGAATTGTTATGTCATATTGGTCCTTCCATATGGCAGTGTATGTCAGACAATTTCCGTACAGTTGAAGATGAAACCTTTTTCTCGAGTCCAATGTTATCGTTCTTTCCAGTATTAAAGGGGGACCCCTTCGTAAACTTTTCTTTGATTGATTTATTTTCACAGCTTGCAGGTTATTTAAAGCCAGGAAATATTTTTAGATGTAAGAATTGTTTTCTTTTACTTTTTTTGGAAAGAATAATGGTTTAGTGATTCAAGTCTTACTAATTAACCCATAGCTGGTGGGGAGAAGAGGTGGATGCATAGCTTTCCCAAGTGTGTTTACTCGTGAGTGAGTATAAAGAAACCAACGGGAATTGGAACTCGTCTCTCCGATAAAAAATTCCGAGCAATTACGCATTACACCACCGCGCATCCAAGCTTACGGCAACTGATATTCCCAAGCCGTTACCCATCTAGGTACTGACCAGACTCGATCTTCCTTACCTTTGGAGATCGTACGGAACCGGTGTTTTACCTTGATGTGGCCGTAAATCTGGTTCCACAGAAAAAATATCATAAACTAGCAGCATGGCCCGGCGTTGCCTGTGTTTGATTCAAAAATCGTACGACTCATACAGCAATCGCTATCACTTGACTTAAAATATTTTTGCCCTTCCTTGCCTTTAAAGGAGTGCTTTTTGACGTGCTGATGTTGCTACATGCCTCACTTCTTGCCTATCTCACACTGAGAATTTTTTCGAAGCTCTATACTAAACATTAAATCTGTTACGAAAAAAGAACTAAACAAAATGAACATAAAACAATCAGCTTTAAAAAAGGACTCGTAACTGGAAAAACCGAATGAAAAAAGAATGTTAACAACAATACTTTCTCACACCCAACCCAGTTCTGCGAAATCAGAATCAACGTTGAGTTTAAGCAAGCGAATGAGCCAATTGGAGTAAAGTGCCATGCAGATTTAAATTTTTCCCACTTCTGACGAATTCAGCTATCGATTTTTTTTGCATGCTAGCATGCTAGTTAACATTCGTGTCAGTCAGCTGTTGGCTCTCACGCTGGCCAATAGAATCTTCCTGCCTATTCGTGGCAGCCAGCTATAGGCTCTCATTCTGGTCAGTACAAAATGGCCGCAAACTACATTAAAACTGCCGTAGAAGCATGAAAAATCGATTACTTCCACTATCGATGGGAGTTGGGAAATGCCACGTCGGTCTTGGCCTTCCCGCTAACTCGGAGCATGTGCATGTAAATTTTGGTGCAAATCCGTCGAAAATTGCAGCCGTACATTCGTTACACACACACACACACACACAAACACACACACACATCCTGCCTTTTATAGATAGAGATAATATGGTCGGAGCATGTCAGTAACAAGAAACTTTTAAAGAAAACGTTACACTTAAATTGAAAATCAGAAAGAGACATTAGAATTGGGTGGGGACCCATAATGAGGAAAATGGGTGTGAGGAATTTGACAGTCACGTGACATAATGGAGGTAAGAGGAAAGAGAAGAAACAGCACATAGCCAAGCTAAAAGGCAGAAATGTAAATGCCTGGCAGAAGAATAAACGTTATTGTATCTTCCGGTGTCTATTTTAATGCACCAATCTTTATTAAATGGCTTCTTTTTTGTGCAGTACATCACCTTAGTTAAGCGCGTATATATATATATATATATATATATATATATATATATATATATATATATATATATATATATATATATTATGACGCTTCTTTTAATTTAGTAAGCACGGACAGAAATTGACAAGGTTAGCAACAATAAAACATCACGCAAATGTCAAGATCAACATCCAGAAACTTCTCTAGCCGATGTAAGTGTTAGCCTTCAAACAAGGTCAACACCAACCGGAAATCAGATCGAAATGTTGGTGGACAATATAATTAAAAGTTCGATGCCCCCGCCACAAGAAGCAGTTGTTATATCGATATAGGAAATCAAATATAAAATATATGAGGTGCTAAAATATATTGACTACGTATATATATATATTGACTACTAATATTATCAATATATATATATATATATATATATATATATATATATATATATATATATTATAAATTAATTGATTTAAAATATGGTTTTTTTCGCTACAGTTCCAACCATGTTTCAAAAATAGAAGCTAAAAACCCCGAATTTAATTTTGCAATTAAATTAAAAGCATTAGTTCCATTTCATCTTCAAGCGAATTAAACCTTTAAAAATTACCGGGTTTTAAAGACACAGCTAAAATCACGTTTCCATGGTTACTGAATATTCTACTTAAATTGAACAAGGGATGTCTAGATTTTCCTTATGTCAGTATCATTGTATCAGTTATTAGCTACAATTTGGTAAGGGGTAGGGATGTATTTTACAATGAAACCTGAAATCAGTTGAATGGATGTCGTCTGAATTTTTTTTTTTTTTTTTATTGTTAACGGTAAAAAAATTTCAAATATATATGTATGAATGTATGTATGTGTATATATATATATATATATAGGGTATCAGTCCTGACACATCATTAATATTCATTCTTGTTTCTATTCCATATATAAATAAGATGACATTAATATTCGTTTAATATTTCTGCTACATACTTATCATAGCTTCTCCTTCATATTGTAAATCTGTAATATATTCTCCCATACATGTTCTCGTAGACAATCAAAAGAAGATTTACCTTATACCCGCCCACTCGTCTGTAAATCTTATACTTATGCATGTCTTTTGGTTTTGCATTCATTTTGTGTGAATCTCTCACACAAATTCGAATACTGATGTATCGGCATTGTATGTCTGCGAAGTGGAGCATGACCGCTAATCGTGGTTCTACGAATTTATTTGCTCTGCGGTTTCTTTACCATTGATTGCAGTTCTTATTTGAATGAAGTAGGGGAAAAATAAAACCAACATGTTCAAAGACCATAAAACAGACTATGACATAAAGCACAGAAGAATGAGAAAAAGAAGATAACGGAATTCTTGGAGAGAAAAGAAAGACTACCCAAGTCATTGGGGAATAATCGGAAAGGCATAAAAGCATAAGTTAAACAAAAAAAGAAACAAACAAACTCGGGAAAAAAAGGCTATGAAAGACAAAATGCAAAAGAAAAAAGCAAATCCGACTTTACAAAGGAAAACTAAGCAACAGAAAGTGAAAAACCGTAAGAAATAAAAAAACAAATATATATATATATATATCCCATCATTCATTGAGAGAGATATGTTTTCCTTGCATTTAGCGTTCGCCATACATTCCCGTGTTTTTGGATGAAAAGAAACAAGAATTAATATTTACGTGTCATTAATTCCTTCATATTCTGGAAGTAGAAACGATTATAATCAATGAATCAGTAATAATATTAGCTATGGCTCCTGAAGGCGCCATTGTTGATTCAGAAAATCATATTGTAATGTTTGTTCTTTATTGTTGCTATAGTTCATACTTACCGGCTGCAGATACTGAAATTGAATAATTGAACAAACAGCAATCGTTTAAAGCATTTACAATCATACGACGAAAATCAAATTTAGTCTATTATCATAATCCAATTCAAATTATACAGAATGTGTATGACTAACTGTGAGAGGGGAAAAAGCGCCATCATAATTTGAATTATGTGAAAATAATAGTGTCACATACCCGATACGTGAAAACAAATACTTCAGGCCACTCAATTCTCTGTAATATCGATTTACTTGTTTAGGAAGGTCGAATATTTCAGAATAATCGTTGCTTCTTCTAGCTTCGTTAAACATACTTCAGGGTTTTCTCTTTGTAATGTGTTATAACGACATTTCTATAACAATGAGGTCCTTGTTGTAAAGCTCTGCAGAATCTTATAATCTGCATAGCCCTTAAGTTTCATTCAATCTTGATTATCAAATTACATTGGAAAATTAAAGATTGTATAAAATACGTGTAGGCGATTAAAAATTGATTTTGTTTCAGGTAGTCAGCATCACAAAATTTAATATACCTTTACAAAGATTTAAGAATATTTGACTTCTTTATTTTCTTACATAAAATAAAGCATAAGCGGGGAGTTTAGGTCTACATATATACGACTAGCAGTAGAGCCCGGCGTTGCCCGGGGATGTAACAGTAAGAGATAGATCAAGTATCGACCATCATAAAGAGACTGAAAAATAAAATTGACAAAGATTATTGTTTAAGGTTGATGGACACGCATGTCTTAATTAGTTTTTTTTTTTTTGTTTTGTTTTTTGTTGTTTTTTTGTTTTTTTTACGAATAGGTCAAACCCAAACTCGAACAAACACATTGTTTTCAATCGTTATGAGTCTACCGATTGAATAGAATTTTATTATAAACAATTGTCTTGTAAATGGAATTTTTAAAGCATTCTGAATATAAAAATAAAGAAAAAAAGTGTGCAAGACAATAAGAAACACTACCTGCCAAAAAAAAGCGAAGTTTTGTTGAAATCGGTTGAAAAATGTAGGAAATCTGATCCCATATATAAACGAACACACACACGCACAAACAACCTGGGTTTTATAATAAGTATAACTCGATATGAGTTGTCCCCTTTTCATTCTCGCGATGCCTCTTAATCGTGTTTTCAAATTGATTTCGTGCAAAAACAATTGTGTTTTTCCAATTTTTAGCGCTGTCAGAACCACTGCAAGGTAATTTTATGTAGTCCTGTGAAGTTTTGTTGAAATCGGTTGAAAAATGTAGGAAATCCGATCTAATATATAAACGTACAGACAGATACACACACACACACAAACTGGGTTTTATAATAAGTATGATTTGTTGTAGAGGAGATATGTAGTAGTACCAACAGCCAGTAGTTTAGTAGCACCAGCTGCTAACTGGCACCTTTAAAATTCCTTTGCGACGAAATTAAGATAAAGGAAATACTAATAGAAAAGTAGCAATGGTTGATAAGGATTCAGCTAATAATAAAATAAAAATAGAATGACCGAATCAATGGTTTTAATAAAAAAAAATATCACCTGTTAAAACCTTTTGTGATGTCAACGAACATTCGTTACCATTTTTGTGATGCCAACGATAAACTCTTTCGTAATGCTCGTTGTATTAGAGACTTTGTAATCTCCGATATAACTATAGTAACGCCGTTGAACAATACTGGTGTCAGACGCCTTCGAATAGCATTCACACTAATAGTACTTGCTCGATTATACTCGCTCGAATAGTAACCACCGCATAGTGGTCGGAATAGAGAATTAGTATAGTGTAGAATAGCGGTCCGTATAATAGTAGAGGATAGACTAGAAATAGAGATCAATTAAACGTCACGCGACTTCCTATTTATGCGTTTCCTCTATGTTCACTTGATCTATTTAATTCAATAATGGGATCGCCTGTGTTTGCTCACTGGCGATCTATGTTCAAACTCAAGTGTCGGCAGCGACACTTTATTCCTATATAACAAAACCATAGAAAGTTACAAAGAAGTTATAATAATTAATCTTGCTTCATTTATGAAGCAAGAATAACTATGACAATTTTTCGTGTGTCTGG